ATGAGGGCCACTGACACTGCCCTCCACAGCTAAGATGCTGAACAACAGCTCAACCTGGAGCTGGGCTGCCGTGGGTCGTCGGCAACGGCGTGGGCTGCAGTCCCCTGCTGCAGTGGGTTGCCATGGGCTACCGTGTGTAGCCAGCAGCCAGCGTGAGCGGCCGTCCAGAAGCCGGCGACTGATCTGCCTCGCCCAGGAAGAGCGCAATGATGATGCCAACTTGGGCCAGTGAAGCAGCGTCCTCCACAACTAGACTGAAGAACAAAAATGACAGCAACTTGTCTGTTCCCCTTCCCCCGATTCCCCAATAAAATATAAAAAAAAAAAATGAGAGGGGGTCCTGATGGGGTTGCCCACTAGTTAGGGCAAAAACTTTGGTTTATATACCGTTTGTATGTCTGGGGAGGGGGCTTTCTGGTGCCTCTTGGCACTATTATCAGATTTACATTGTTGTTTAGCCCAGATGAGGTGATTTTCTCAAAACAGTCTAATTTCCTTAGAGCTTAATCAGCTTAATCAATGTCTATGCTCTGAGAGGAACATGTTAGCCTGAGACTGGCTTTGAAGAAAGGACTCCTGACAATCTTATCTTATGTTAAATAACCTCTTTGAAGATAGGCATTCTACCTGGGAATCCCTGGCTGGGAAAAAGTGGCCTTCTTCTCCCCCACCTGAGTTTGTCACTTTGGCTGGTCCTGTGACTTAAACCTATCTGTTAGCTAATAAATTATTTCCCTGGCTTTGTTATAGTTTCCATCCTGATTCCCTCTACCTGACGATTTCCCTGACTGCCTATAATTTTACTATCTCATTAGTGCTGTGAAGACCAACTGTTACCCACATAAAGCACTTAGCATAGTGCCTGACACTTATTTAGGACTTGGTAATGTTGGCCATTATTATTGTTGTTGTTATCACAATTACTATTATATGCTCGCACTTTGCTAAGCTCTTTGCAGGTGTTATCTTGTTTCATCTCATTTAACCCTCAGGACCACCCTATGAGGTAGATGTGGAAATCATCCCCATCTTGCAGATGATGATGTAGATGATCCCTAAGGTAGGGATCCTCCCAAGGTCTTGTACACGTAGGAAACAGAGCTAGAAGTCAACGCTACGTGAGCCAGTCTGGGAAAGGAGTGGGTGTGGGTCTCTATAAGAGCCATGGACTTGACCACCTTGTTTGGGAGCACAGAGCAGAAGGCCTTATCGGGCTCATTCTCTACCCCCCATCCCCCCACCCATCATTTTACAGATGGAATTTAGGAGGCCCCTAGAGGTTTAGGTGAGATAGAAAAATTATAGGTAGTCAGGGAAATGGCCACAGTGGAAGGAATTAGAGCGGAAACCATAACAGAGCCAGGAGAAATAATCTTAATAGCTGACGGATAGGTTTAAGTCACAGGACCCAGGTGAGAATGACAAATTTGGGAGGAGGAGGAGAAGATGGTTTTTTTCTCAAAGCCTATAACAAAGAAGTCAAAAGTTAAGTTTCACCTCCAGATGGGAGGATTAAGAAAGGTTAGTTAACATAACATAAGGCAGTCAGGAACTCCCTGATAGAATGAGCAGAAGACAATGATATCTTCAAAGCCCCAGTCTTGAGATACCATAATCCTATCAGAACAGAGACATCAATTATGCTCTGAGGAAACTAGGTGTTTAAAAGGAGTAGTTCCCCACCTAATGTGGGCATCCCAGTCGGGACCCCTCTCGTTTCGAGAGCTGTAACTTTCTGCTTTAATAAAACAATCCTCTGCTACAAACTTGACCTCTCTGGTCTGTGTCTCCATTCTTTGGCTTCACGAGACTATGATCCTGGCACAAGAAATATCTTTCATCAAAGGGATTTATGAGATCCCCACAAGGTGTCCCTCCCTCCAATCCAAGCACTTCCTATTGCCCCTTTGACTTTGAAGCCTCCAGAGCCTGAGGATGGATGGTGGTTAAGGTGGGGCACTGGCTACTGGAGGAGGGACAGGGGCCTCAAGCAGAAAGAATGTCAAGCAGGGCTGGTAGGTCACAGAGTGAGATCTCAGCAGACCACTAGGAGAGAGAGGGTGGGGAGAAGGTGGGGGGGGGGTGACTCAGAAGGCTCAGTCTTCCAATCAGAGAACTCCCAGCGAGATATTTAAATCTGCAGTGGGGGGCAGAGACCTGGCACTGAGAGAGACCAGCTCACTAGCAAAGGCAGTGGAACTGACTCATGACTGGAGTCTGAGGTCCTGGTTCTACTTCCAGCTCAACTCTACCTTTTCTGAGTCATCAGGAGACCTCTGGGCTCCACAGTTTTTCATCTGTGAAGTGAGAGAGTGTTTGACAGGGTTTCCAGGAGCCCTGTCTTCTGATTGTCGCTGACTTCACCAGAGTCCGACTTCACCCTGTGGGCCAGTTGTGCCTGAGACCCAGGGCCTGGGAGGTTTAGGCTGAGCTGGTAGAGGTAGCTGAGGTTTGGAGGGACAGGCTGCAGTGGTACTTCCCCTGACCCCTGAGACCTGGGCTGAGTTCTGTTCTTTCCACAGGGATTTACCCAAAGCCTAGGAAACCATAGGTCCAGGTCCCCTGGGCTGTGCCTGAGGAAGCAGGTGACAATGGACACCAGGTGAGTCTGGGTGTGGATTGGGAGCCACAGGTGAAGTCCCAAATGCTGAAATAGAAGGATTCTGGCTGTAGACTGCTCTGTTTAGTTAGTCTCAGGAACAGGTGGCCAACTGTAGGTCCAGTGGCAGCTCTAGGTGTTACTGGAGAGCAGACTCTTCTCGGTGCGGTGTCCAGGTTCTTGGCACCTGGAGCAAAGAATTGAATGAGACACAGAAACACAATGGTGAAAGAACAGTTTATTAGAAGTGAAAATACATTCCCAAAAGATAAAAGTGGGCCCGAGCACAAAGGAGTGGCTCAAAAGGTAATGACTGGGGCCGGCCGAGTGGCGCGATGGTTGGGGGCTCGCTTGGGATACCGGAGGGCCCCGGTTCGGATCCCACATATGAGGGCCAGTGACACTGCCCTCTACGGCTAAGATGCTGAACGACGGCTCGGCCTGGAGCTGGGCTGCCGTGAGTCGCTGGCGACGGCGTGGGCTGCAGCCCCTGCTGCAGTGGGTTGCCATGGGCTACCGTGTGTAGCCAGAAGCCGGTGACTGATCTGCCTCGCCAGAGA